TCAAAAAAATCCACTCATTACCATTGAATTCATCCTGACTCACAGTGACCGGTAGAACTGCCCCTGTGGGTTTCTGAGATGGTCACTGCTTATGCAAATGGAAAGCCCTGTCTATCTCCCACAGAGTGGGAGTGGTTTCGAACTGCTGACCTCATAGTTAACAGTTCAACTCACAATCCCATTGCACCATTTGGACTCCCATGGACATGAAGGCTACTTCCTATCTATACTGCTTGGCCATCTCTTCTTTGAAACTGGCTTACCTTATGAACTGGTTTATGAAATCTTTAATTTCACAATCTCACCTGGATTCAAGATTTTGTAAATACTGTATCAATGAATAATATCTCTAGCACTAGATCTATACATATGTTTTGAATGTCTGTGGAAGCTTTCCATTTTTTCATTCCATTTTTTTCATGAATTTTTTGAAGACCCCACGTGTGTGTGCATGTGTGTGTGCATGTATGTATGTGCACACGTGTGTGTACAGGTAACAGATACACTGGTGGTAGGTGGGTTAAGTATTGGTATGCCTCCCCAAAAATTAGTGCCTCAAAGCCATCAGATGCTCTGCAGAAGGATGGGGCAATCCGCTGCAGGAAAGATTGACAGCCTTGGAAAATCTACTCAGTAGTCCTACTCTCTCCTGTAGGGTTATTTGCTGTGAGTAAGAAATGACTTCATGGCAGTGGGTGTTTCATATTACAGAAGATATATGTACGTGTGTGTAAATATAGGTTGTTATTGTTTTCGGCTGCTGATTGGATTCTGACTCGTGACAGCTGGGTAGACCAGCCTTATAATCACATCTTGGCTCTTATCTTTATGGAAGCACACCGCCAGCTCTTTCTTCTGTGCTGCTTTGTGGGTTTTAAGCACCACCCTGTCAGCTACATGTTGCTTTTTAGACATGCTGTTGAGTCTATTTTGGACCCCAGCTGCTCCCTGTAACGGAGTCTGTGCTGTCCAGGGTGTTGTTCTAGGCTGTGATCTTTATGAAAGCAAATCATCGGGTCTTTCTTCTGTGAAGTTCATAGTCAGGCGCATAACCATTACACTGTTCCATTGTCCGTTCCCAGTAGAATACAAGCTGTTTGTATCCACTAGGGACCTTCTATGAACACACACCTGTTATAAACTAGAGTCCAGTCCACTTCCCATCATTTCTTTTAAAATGTTAAGCTTACAAATCATTAGAAACTGGTTTCCTCATCTATAACAAGAGGTTAAATATCATTCTCCTAGATTCCATGTTGAATAAATATCTTAGAAGGCAGATAAGAAAGCATAGGAGAGTCTCCAAAAGATATTCATTAGTTTGGCTGTGCACACGTTGAAAACAAAGTTCAAATTTGTGAGTTATCTGACTGCTATTTCAAATGAAAATAGCAGACACCTGCTGAAGTTTCTATACCTCAGTTTTTTAAATGCTTGATGTATATCAGCCCGTATGTTGAAGGTGAGAGGGACATGACTTCGTCGCTTTGGGTTGAGTCTTGCCTCCTTCACAACCCAAATTCCAATTTGATTTACTTCAATCTCTGGATCCAAACTATTTTCCTTAGAACGTCCCTGCATGTTTGAAATTTGGCATAAGTAAATATTGGCAGAAGTGTCCAAACTCTTCTGCCTTTAAGCTGCTTTGTATCATTTTATAGAGTCACTGGGGTCTACTATTATCTGAACAATTATCCTTGAAAAATAGCTTAACTTGGTGGGGGAGGGGATAAGAGAGAAGGAGAGAATATTGGGAGTCCCTCAGCAGCCCATCAATAATAGGCCTGAATTCCTCAGAGGCAAGGAGGTAATCGATGAAAGCAGGGATCTCATAACTAGAAAGCATCTCATTTGCTTCCCCAAAGACTTTGATTTCTGCCAAAATATCTGGCTACTGAAGCCACCCCAGAGACTAGCCAGATTTGGAGAGGGAGGGCTAGAAAGGAATTTGGGATGTGAATTGCTTCTTCTCTGCCAAGCCTGTGCTGTGTTGTTCAGAGAGCTCTCTCCCTAGTCCATTTGTAGACTTGAGTGGGTACAATGCCTTGAACTATCGTCCAAGGTCACCAATAAAAGATACACTCCTATTCCACTCGTGCCTGGGTTAGAGAAGAGACAGAGTGAGGGCCAGTTTCCTGGTGGCCACTGGTCTCCCATGGCCAGCACGATCTCCTCACATATGGTCAGTGCAAGGAAGATGTCCCACACGTCCCTCTCTCGTATGGTAGCCTGGCCACATCCTGTTCTCTCCTCGAAGTGGGGTTGCCCAAGTGATGTATGTGGTGATTACATATGAGCTTTACGCAGTGACTGCTACTTAAGAACCCAGAACAGGCAAAAAACTACTCTGATCAGGACAAGCAACTGGGAGCTCAAACGAGATAAAAGTCCCAGCTTCCTTATCAAAGAATGTTCTGGGCCCAAAGCCTATGCTTGGGCAGCCCAGATGGGAGGAGCAGGGACCAAACTTTCCCCCAACAGAGTGTTTAAGCATCTCCAACCAGCCCCTTGTGACACTTAATATATAATCATGAGCAGAGTATCAGACCCTAAGAAAGCGATTGCAGAATAGGGCTTAGGAGAGTGGTGGGTGTGAGTGGGCATTGGCATACGGGGAGCCGAGGAGCCATAAGAGTTGAAAAGCTGCACTCAGGAGCATGGCAGCTCCCGGGGTACTTTGCCTCTGGTGGACACCATTTAGATAGATATTCAATACAACCAACTAGACAGGCTCCGTCGTAGGCTCCCCTCAGTCAATGTCCTAGTTGTCTGGAGTCAAAATGGTGTCGCCAAGTACTCGGCACGCTGGGAAAGGCCCCTTGGGAGGTAGCGGTTTGGCCGACTGTATCCGCATTCTTTTTTTTCATGTTCCGGCAGCACTGGGATGTTTGTTCAACACAGAGAGAGATGAAGATCTTTGGCTGCAAGAGCCTCTTAAATGAAAACACGCACCAAAAAGCAAGCACGCCCCCAAACCAAACATGTTTTATTTCTTTGGCAAACGTACCAAGGAAAGTGATGCCATGTTGTGACAGAAGACGGAGCGATTAGTGCTTCTGCAAAAGCAACTTTCTCGTGACGGGGACAGCCACATCTCACAGCGCAACAAACCTCTCCCCAGCCGCCTGCAGCACCCTGCTCACATGGAGCTGGCCAGATGCCAAAGAAAACATTACAGTAAAAAAAAATTTTTAAATCTCCCCTCTGTGTCTCTGAGGGTTCCGCTGGAAGGGTGAGCTGGACACGGAGCGCTCCCGACATTGAAAACCCAACTGGGGATTTCATACTTTCCTCATTTGTAAGCAAAATCCATTTTTCCGTGGGATATTTTTAGTCCCAGCATCCCCTAATGCCCTATTCTCTTACAGCACGCCATTAGCTCTTGAGGCCCTTCCAAGCAGCCCACGTGATTTCGAAGCATCGGCCCAGTTCCCTCCCAAGTGACCACTCTCCCAGGAGTCCAGTACTGGGCTCTTAACCACCGAAGACCTCGCGGTCCCTCCTGAAGCCTCGGGGTCTTATCGATGGGATGTTAAAACGTTTGACAGCTGCGTGTTTTAAGGGGTCAGCGTGGCGGAGCGCGTGAAAAGACCTCAGCGATCGAGAGATTTCCTGCCCCACCGGCCGCCTATGTCAGTATGAAAATGTATCAGGCTGCAGAACTGCTTGTGTGGGAAGAGAACAACCATGCCATTGATGGGAAATCACAGGGGCCCCCTGGCGACTCTCACATGGGTTTGGTGAACGTGTGCATACTTTGGATAATCGTGTGGATTCCTGGGGTGGGGTGGGGTGGGGTGGGGGGACAGTACATGGCGGACGAGAGGATTTCCACTTCTGGAATTTGTGAACGCCCCCGATCACTTAGTGGGGTGTCTAGCGAGATTTCTGTCGGGAGATGTTTACACTCCTAAATGAGCATCCCTGCTCTCGCTCTTGGTTCAATGCTCGCTCATTTGCCTGGGAACACTGTCCCTGTGAAGCCAGATGGTTCCGTGGGTCCTTCTGGAAAGGAGGGGCTGATTTGAGTCTCCTGCGACAAGATAGACTTATGCAGACCTCTGGATGTAGCATGGAGGAGGTTCATTGTGACGAACCAGAAACATGCTCTCAAAGTGAATTGAGAAGTACTCGGCGGGCAGAACGCTTTGCTTCTAATATTCCTGAGTGTGTTCCGTTTCAATGGATCAAATCTTTCCCATCTCTGCATCCAAGCTATTTGGCTGTGATCAGATGATCAGAGTGCAAGGAAGTGATTGGAGAATGAGCTGGCTGCAGCTGCAAATGTAGGCTGTTTTCAGGGACAAGGAGCCACTGTTTTGCAAACATAGCATCAACATAGAAGTGATTCTGTAGGCTCCAGCATGCAGCTATGGGCTGTACTGCCAGCATTGTTCTGCTTCAAGCTTTTCGCTCTGTGGTCCAGAGGAGCTGTCCACACATTTGTAGACGACGCCAGGAGGAACCCTCCCATGAAATCCTGCCTCTGGAAAGCGACGATGAAATGAGCAGACCCCGAACCCTCATCCTAATGGTATAGTATCTGATGCCCAACCGCATCCGTGGATGGAACTGCTGCTTAAGAGAGGCTGCACTTGAGAGATTGGCGTATTTGGCTTTAGCTACAGAAATGTGTCACTATGAGATTACGGCTGTGTTTTGCTGTTTGGGAAATATCTTTCTGAACTGTTTGCATCATTTGAATAGCTGATTCTGTTTCTCTTTCAGCTGTCTCTCTCTCTCTTTCTCTCTCTCTCTCTCTCTCTCTGTCTGTCTTTCTCTCTGTCTCTCTTTCTAACTCACACACGCGCACACAATGTTCAGTGTATTGTTTGCTAGACTTCCCCTCTGCCTAACCTTTTATATGCTGCTGTGAAGTCTGATGCAGACAGAGAGAAATGACAGCATTTGGTCTAATTAAGTGGGTTTTGTTTTGTAAGTGATTTGAAAGAAGAGCCAAAACAGAGATGGGTGTACCACGTGTATCCAATCAAGTTGTAGTAGGTGTCGGTAACGGGATGTCTGTTGTCAGGGCCTCCGAGGCTTGTACTTCTGACTCTGTGATGGAAAGTTCTGAAAGACTTCAACCTGAAATCAGAAGAAAGTATGGAAAGGCTGAGGGGCAGGTTTTATGTTGGTCCAGAGAAGCTGGGCTCTTTCTACTTACCCAGTGGCATTTGTCTCGGTGCTTAAAATATACACGGCAACATTACTCCTTTGGTCTGTGTCACCTTGCGGGAGGGAATCTTTTCCTACCTGCAGCCCAGGGGGAGAGCTGCTTAGTCATTGAAATGCCAGACCAGGATAAAGACAGCACGAGGAAGTGTCCACAATTCAGGAGAGACATTGAAGTCTAGGTGGTTTTAAAACAATCGACTTTTTTCTCCCCGTTTCAATATCAAGGATGTAGTAAATAATGAATGAAAAAAAATACCTGTTCCTCTAAAAGTCTTAAAATGAAAGTCATTTGGCTCAAACTTTCCCTTGTGAGTGACAGACTAGTGAGCTATAACATTCTGTGCCAATCAATATTTCCTTTTCAAAATGCCATCATGTTTTCTTGAACTATTAGGTTATGATTATCAGTAAAAGATAAAAGTCTACAGAGGAGGAGCCTCCCACCCATTATTACCATAAGCTTGCACAAATGAAATTTACAAAGAGTGTGAGATTAACTCCAACAGCCGTGTCTTACCAAGTTCAACTCTTGTTAATGATATGAAAACCATCTATAGCTATGTGTATTGCTGTTGCCTTATCAGTCATTAAAACAACCATTTGTGTCCCAATTTTATTAATTAGACTGTAACAGTTTGAAGGATTTTTTAAGTCTGCATTCAATTTCAAATTAACGTGTAAAAGAAAAAGTACACCTAATAACAATATCTTTTCAAGGAATCCTTTGTTATTCCTGGCACCTTTATTGATATTCTATGGGGTGCTGAAGAAATTACTGATTTAAAAATTGGAAGTTTAGAAAGGCTGGATATTTTGCTAGCATCCAAAGGCTACTAAATGCCAAAGCCTGAAATTACGTTTAGATCATCGAGCCCCAAACCAGTAGACTTCCCATTCTGTCCATTCCCCTCAGGAAATAATGACACAATTGGTACAAGTGAATTTTTATAAGAATCTCAATGGGTGTCTTGGACTACTCACAATAAAATGTGCACATACAGAGCCCTTGTGCATCTTAAAAGTTTTCTCTGGGCAAAGTCCAGCCTCTACATAGTCAGTAATTATTTAGTGCAGACCCACTCTGGTCTAGGCACTGAGTGTTCTAAGTATTTAGAACCCACCAATGAACAACATCACTGTAGAGCTCTGTTCTAAATTGTGAAGCTTTAAAATGATAGCATATTTTGCAAATGTTCTATTAGGGTGGTGATGCTTAGGGTACCCATTTAAGTCAATGAAAATATTGCTTGTTTTCTCAGTTGATGGTTTGAAAATGTTAGTGTCTTCCAAAGATAATCTAGGAGTTAGTATATAAAGCTTGGGCTCCTGATCCTCAAAATGATATATCAGAAGATGTAGGGTGGTACCCTGGTATCTGCATGTTCAGCAAACACTCCCAGGTGATTCTGGTGCTAAAGAACATTGGGCCACACTATGAAAAACATTTCGCTGACAATAATCGAAAAGTCCCCGTTTCTTTTGCTCCACGGCTCTGATGTTCTTATTTCAGCAAAAGTTTCTATCACCTTCCCATTCATTTCTAAGCTTCAGAACAAACTTGATTTTTTCCACCTTTTTCTTCCTATATCCATTAGTCACCAAATTTTGCCAATAGATATTTTTTGGGTAAGATTGTGGACTCTGGATTCACAGCAGCTAGTTGAATTCCTGAATTCATCATTACCATCCTGTGACTTTGGACATGACATTGACCTTCCAGGTGCTGCGTTTCTTCCCCTGTTATTTGAGGATAACGATGGCCTCCGCCTTTCTAGAAGTGTTGGGGGGATTTTATGAAGTTGGGGGAATGCCTGGGTATGGTAGTGAGATACTCAGATGTTACAGATACCAGGAACACCTTAACTGGAAAAAAGTGGCATTTGAAAGAGACTTGAAGGAGATGAGGAGATGAGCTACCCTGCCCTTTACAGGGGAATGTCTCAGGCAAAAGGACGAGCAAGGCAAAAACCCCAGGCAAGAAGAACTTGGGTGTTTCAGGAGGAACTAGGAGGCCAGCGTGGCTGAGTGAGCCAATGGAAGTGTAGTAAAAGGCGGGTCAGTGCAGTAGTGGGAGCTAGAGTATGCCACACTTTGCAGGCTGCCATCCAGGTGTGGGCTTTTCCAAGTCAGAGGAAGGGAGACACGGCAGAGTACAGGCATTGGAATAAAGAGTCCGGACAGTGGATCCAGGATATTATAGTTGGAGCCCTAACTCTACCTGCCACTCACTAGCTGGGTAATTTCACAATTGACTTGCCCTGGTGCCTCATTTCCTCTTTGATAAAACAAGGAGGCAAGGTTACCCACTACCACATACGGTCATTGGTGGAATTCAGCAAGTTAACATTTATAAAGATCTTAAAATAATGCTTTGTGGGTGGTTGTTGTAATTAGTTGCCTTTGAGTTAATTCCAATTAATGACTATTCCTGGTATGCCCAGTAAAATTTCTTCCTACTGTTTTCAAAGCTGTGGCCTTTTTGAAGCAGATCACCAGGATCCTCTTCTGAGGCACCTCTAGGCAGGTTTGAATCTCCAACCTTTCAGCTCATAGGAGAGCACTGCACAGTTTATATCATCCGGGGACTCCTGGTGAATAGTAAGTGCTGTGCTGACTGAAGTTTCTTTAATTTCGAGGGTCTCAAGCAGAAGAATGACATCCTCAATGGTTTCAAGAGTCAAGGACTGAAACAGAGAGATCACTTGTCAGGGAGCTATTACAATGACCCCAGAAAAAGACCAACATAGTATTTATTGAGATTGTGAGTAGTTGCTGATTGCTGGTTATCTTTCAGACTCAGAACCCAGGCTTTGCTTACAACTTGAATATAAAGTGTCAGAGACAGAGAGGCATGGGGGATATCTGTACATTTTAAGATTTTTCTGAGAAACTAGAACTGACTTGCCATTCGGATGTGGAGGGATAGGCAGAAAAAATTGGTGAAAGTAAGTTCACTCTGATGTATGCTAAGTTTGAAATTCCTGTTAGGTCTACAGATGGAGATGTCCAGTAGAAAGTCGGATATATGAGTATGGAGTTCCGAGGAACAATTCAGACAGAAGTAAGAGTGTTTCGGAGAATCTAGGGATCCCGGGTGGTGTAGTGTTTATGAGTTGGGCTGCTAATGCAAGGTCAGCAGTTTGAAACTCTGCTGAGCTGCTCCACTCAGGAAAGAGGCTTTCTGCTCAGTAAAGAGTTAGTTACAGTCTTGGAAACCATCAAGAATCGTTCTACCCTGTCCTATAGGTTTGCTGTGAGTCAGAATTGACTTAAGGCAGTTTGTTTGTCTTTAAGTACCAAACAAGGATTGATGAATGAATAATGAACCCTCTCTCTCTTCGAGTCTCATAGAACACTTAAAAGTGGGTAAAGTCATTTGTCAGTGAACCATCTCTTGTCTTCTAACATAGCTAGAGATATTGAGCTATACTATTTGAGTTTGATTTTATGTATATACGTATATATATATATATATCCTATATCCCATATATACTTGAGTATAAGCCGACCTGAATATCAGC